TTTTGTTTTCCTCTTGCTGTATTACATAAAGATCAAGGACATTCGGAGGCGTAAGTTCATGTTAGAATTCATCCCCATGGACAGGCGATGATTTCCAAAGGGGGGACTGTAGTAAACTTGGCCTCCGACCAAAACCTGTCTCTGAAGAACTTCATGGGACAGGAACTGTTATTTCATTGATTTGAATCCAGAAATACAAATTAGCTCATCCAGAGACTGTCTAATTGTATCCTGAATTAATCAATTGAAAGAACACTCTACTTTTTATATTATCATTACTATTTTACAATATCTTGATAATCAAAAAGTGTGTTTAGTTCATATAATTTCTAATGTTGAAGTGAACCACTCATTTTAAATCAACTGTGAAACAGTATTAATGATTTTTTAAACCTCATTTAAATTAGAAATCAAGTTAAATGTCTATTTACAAAGTAATTATGCATTTTGATTTTCTGTCTAAATGAGAAGTCAGTGATGTCGGTCAAAAGTCAGAGACAGTCAGAAAACAAGTTATTAGAACGAAGTGGATTGTTTTTAAACCTAGCAGACGGTAAAAAGAGAAACACTGGCAGCTGCGTTCCTCTCACTTCTTCATAACATTTCTCTGTCTGTACTAAACGTTCCTAAACATTCTTGCACTCTCTCTTGACTTTTAATAACCCTCTGACATCACTAGAACCACCCCCTGTTGATTGTTTCAACCAATCAGGAAGTATTAAGTGACGGGAAGTGAGGACTCTTTTAAAAGTCGACACTTCCTTGAACTATTGAGTCTTCTCTGTCTTCTCAAGTTCTTCTGAGTTCTTCTCAGTTTTTCTGAGTCTTGGAGTTCTTCTGAGTCTTCTTGACTCTTCAGTCTTTGATGGAGTCTTCTCAAGCTTTCTGGAGTCTTCCACTTCTGAGTGTAAACTCTGACGGAGTCACAAATACTTGCTGTGAATCCACCCGGGCGTAACGCCTACAACTTCGAAGGAAGCGTGTCTGTTTAACGGAGTAAACCACACGACTTCTGACGATGCCCAGCCATCCTGACCGGAGATGGTGTAAAAGGATCGTACTAATGGACTTCTGTTCCTGAGTCGAGGTATCCCCGTCTAAGGTAACAAAGTCTCTGCACGTCCTGAAGTGTACGGGAGGTTTGAGCTGGGGTTGAAAGAAGCGTGCTAATTCTGGTCAACAACATACACCTTCCTCCATCCATCTCTTCTTTAAACCTCTAAATCTCTCCTCTTGTAAATCTTTCTGCCAGTAAAGTAATCTAGATGCCTTCAGAAATGTCCTGTTGTCTTATTAGTAAAACGTGCCAAGTTTTATTAATCAGAACCAGATCAGCTAATCAAGGGTACATGTTTTGATGTTAAATTTTGATTCTGTTAAATAAATGACCGCATTTATCCTGATGGGTTAAAGAAATTAACGTCTCTTGTCACTGATTAAACAATACTCACAGTTACCTCGGTCACATGGCATTGATTTAACTCGAAAAAGAAAGAACCCGTTATATTTAAATAATTAATTAGTAGTGAAGCGACAGCATAGGCTGACCGCACCCCCTTGACTACTACATTTGGTGGGACCGTACGTGTTTTAAATAACAACAAATGGTGGACCGTATGTCCACAGCAAAGCTGTCCGTTGACACACTACACAGTTGATCACAATATTTTACTACAGAGGCTTGAATATGATGTTGGGATTATAGGAACGGCTCTAAAATGGTTTAAATCATATCAATCTGATAGATTTCAGTTTGTAAATGTAAATAATAAATCTTCTTCATACACCAAAGTTAGTAATGGAGTTCCTCAGGGCTCAGTGCTTGGACCAATACTCTTTACTTTATATATGCTTCCATTAGGTAAAGTTATTAAACAGCATGAGATAAATTTTTATTGTTATGCTGATGACACACAATTATATTAGTCCATTAAACCCAATGAATCCAATCAGCTACTTAGACTACAAGCATGTCTTAAAGACATAATAATGTAGTGAACTAAGCCTCAGGTCAAATCTGGCCCTGAGGGCCTTCCTGGGACAAGAACTGTCATTTCATTGATTTGAGTCCAGAAACACAAAATTAAGTTCATCCAGAGATTTTCTAAGTGTGTCCTGCACTGATCAATTGAAAGAACACTCTCTTTTTTATTATCATTACTATTTTACAAATGTCTTGATAATCAAAAGTGTATTTAGTTCAAACCATTTTAAATGTTGAAGTGAACTACTCATTTTAAATCAACTGTGAAACAGTATAAATGATTTTTAATCCTCATTCAAAGTAGAAATCAAGTTAATGTTTGTTACAAGAGTAATTATGCATTTTGATTTTCTGTCTGAAATGAGCAAGTGTAAGTCGGTCAAAAGTCAAGTTTCGGTCAACTACATGTTTACTGGAAAGAAATGTCATGTTTAACTTTTTCAGACAGACAGAAGTAGAACTGGCACCAAAAAGTCTCGGTTTCTTCAAAACATCTTTCTGTCTGTTCTTAAACAACCTAATCTTTTTCCTTGACTTTCAATAACCTCTTACATCACTAAGACCACACCCTGTTGGTTCGTTTTAACCAATCAGGAAGTTCTCATGAGGAGCCGGAAGTGACCTCTTTAAAAGGGTCAACACTTCTTAGTTCTTAGAGAGCTGCAGAGAGTTAGTTCCGAGAGCAGCAGAGCAGGAGAGAATGCTGAGCAGAGAATGCTGAAAGTTGAGAATGCTGGAATGTAGAACGCAGAACAAAGTTCCGAGTCTCGTGGGGATTATGGAATCTTCCACATCTGAGTGGAACCTCTGACGGGCTTACTCCTCATGTGAGTCCACCCGTGAGGTGAACGTGTGTTGAACGAAGTACCGTCACTACTCCAGACGTTTTCCAACCATCCTACGGAGACGCTGGAAATGGTAGCGTTAAATGGAACTCCGTACCAGCTGATTCATCTTCAGAGAGGTAACGAGTCGATTTCCTACCGAAGTGTACCGAGGAAAAGCTGGGTTGAGTGCCGTTCTTATACAGACACATTTTCCCTCACACATCTTTTCTCTCCAGATAAACTCCTTCATTTCCCATCTTTAAAACTCTTCTATCTGCCAGTTAATCCAGATATTTTCAGAAATGTCTGTTGTAAAGCTGCAAGTGGAAATCATGGCCGTATGGTTTCTAATTGTAAAGCTAGCTAATTAAGCTATGTGTTATTGTAATCAATTTGCCAAATTAATGTAAATGTTTGATGTTAAACTTTGATTCTGTTAATAAATGACCGCATTCATTTTGATGGGTCAAAGAAAATTAACGTCTCACGTCACATTTAATTATTCAATGCACGATAGAACTCAGTCCAGAAAAATGAAAGAATCCGTTTAATTTATGGATAATATCTCACAGATATATGTTCATTTACAATAATAATAATAATAATGAATTTAATTTGTAACGCACTTTTCATTAACAAAAATCTCAAAGTGCTACAGAGTGCAACTAAAATCAATGATAAAATCAACTAAAATCTGTGATAAAATCAACTAAAATCAATGATACAATCAACTAAAATCTGTGATAAAATCAACTAAAATCTGTGATAAAATCAACTAAAATCAATGATACAATCAACTAATAAAGACATAAAAACCTGGATGACCCTTAATTTTCTCCTGTTGAACACAGACAAAACTGAGGTTTTGGTTTTAGAACCTGAGCACCATAGGAATTAATTTTTCAGTCTTTCTCCCTCCTTAGATAACATTAATCTGTCCTCCAGCTCTAATGTTAAAAATCTTGGTGTTATCTTTGATCAGAACATGTCTTTTATCCCCCACATTAAAAACGTTACTAGAACTGCCTTCTTCCACCTGCGTAATATCACTAAAATTAGAAACATCTGATCTAAAAATGATGCAGAAAAACTGGTCCATGCATTTGTCACGTCTAGACTGGACTATTGCAATGGTTTATTATCTGGGTGTCCAAATACTTCTTTAAAACATCTTCAGTTGATCCAAAATGCTGTTGCCAGTCTTAACTGGAGTTAGTAGGAGAGATCATATTTCTCCAGTTTTAGCTTCTCTCCATTGGCTCCCTGTCAAATCCAGAATAGAATTCAAAATCTTACTTCTAACCTACAAAAATCTCTCAACAACCTAGCTCCATCTTATATTACAGATCTTTTTGTTCCATATTTTCCTAACAGAGCACTTCATTCTCAGGCTGCAGGTTTACTTGTAGTTCCTAGAATTTACAAAAACAGAATGGGAGGCAGATCCTTCAGTTATCAGGCTCCTCTCTTGTGGAACCAACTCCCAATCTCTGTCCGTGAGGGTGACACATTATCCAGTTTTAAAACTAGGCTTAAGACTTTCCTTTTTGATAAATCCTATAGTTAGGGTTGGCTTGGGTGTCCTGCGCTGTCCCTTAATTATGCTGCTATAGGCTTAGACTGCTGGAGGAACTACCATTCTGTGTTTGTCTGTCTCGCCTTCCTGTCCTCTCAAACCAGCCGGTCAAAGCAGATGGCCGCTTGTCTTGAGCCTGGTTCTGCTGGAGGTTTCTTCTTTTTAAAGGAGAGTTTTTTCTTTCCACTGTTGCCACTGTGCTTGCTCAGGAAGGGAGACTGCAACAAAGCCAAGATTCAACTTGTCTACCGCTTCCTTAGATAGAAAACTTTACTAATTGTTTTTTATGGATGTGAATGTTCCTGTAATTTGCCCTGAGATAATTTTGTTGTGATTTGGCGCTATATGAATAAACTGAATTGAATTGAATTTTTTTATGTTGTCAGTCTGAGGAGTTAAACTAGCAACCTTCTAATCACAGGCCCACCTTCTCTAACCTCTTTTCCACCACTCCCCCTATTGCTAATAAACTACTAAATATTGATAGGTATTAGTCAAAACATCACATCAAGGAGGAAACTGGACCTTTATTGTGTGAAAACAGAACCTCAGTGTAAGGATTGTTCTGGTTAAATGAACGGGGGTCATGCTGGGGGCTGGGTGCAGGGCTCACCTCCTTCTTTGGCTTGCTGCAGGAAGTTGAGCAGCACCATGGCGGCCTGATCCACACTCAGTTTTTCTGTGTTCTGACTGCGGGTCTCTGACAGAAACAGAACACACAGAGAACATTTGCTGGGTGAACGGGTCAGTACTGGTAGTTCCAGCTCTGTGTCCCAAAAGGAACTGCTGTTGCTTTGATATAAACTTTAGTACCTAAGTGTAGAGTGTCGTAGACATCGCCTTCTTTTCGGTCCTCGGAAATGAACCTTCGACCCTCTGGAGAAAATATTTACAAGTTAATAGCCATCCATCCATCCATCCATCCATCCATCCATCCATCCATCCATCCATCCATCCATCCATCCATTTTCTTCCGCTTATCCGGGGTCGAGTCGCGGGGGTAGCAGCCTATGTAGGGAGGCCCAGACTTCCCTCTCCCCAGCCACTTGGTCTAGCTCCTCCGGGGGAATCCCGAGGCGTTCCCAGGCCAGCCGAGAAACATAGTCCCTCCAGCATGTCCTGGGTCTTCCTCTGGGCCTCCTCCCGGTGGGACGTGTCCGGAACACCTCACCAGGGAGGCATCCAGGAGGATTGGTATTGATGGCACTGTTCTTAAATGGTTTAAGTCTTACTTGGAGGAGAGAACATTTTCAGTGAAAATTAATGACTCTGAATCATCTTCAGTTCCAATGCAATATGGTGTCCCGCAGGGCTCAATTCTGGGCCCTATGCTCTTCTCGTTGTACTTACTGCCTCTGGGTTCTATCCTTAGGAAACATGGGATTTCATTCCATTGTTACGCTGATGATTGTCAGATTTATTTACCCCTAAAGCAGAAGGATGGACATACGTTCACACATCTCCTGGAATGTCTAGGAGATATTAAAGCTTGGTTGGCCTTGAACTTTTTAAATTTTAATGAAAACAAAACCGAGGTGATGGTGTTTGGACCCAGTGGCTCCTGTGAGTCCTCCTCTATTAACCTGGGACTCTTGGAGAAATATTTTAAACCTGTTATTACAGATCTTGGTTTTAAGGTGGACAGTGATTTTAAATTGGACAGCCAAATCAAAGCCGTGGTTAAGTCCAGCTTTTATCATTTAAGGCGATTGGCGTCAGTGAAGTCTTTTCTTTCCAGACAGCATTTTGAAATGGTGATCCACGCCTTTATTTCGACTCGATTGGATTACTGTAATGCACTTTATCTGGGAGTCAGTCAGTTGCTGCTCTCACGTCTGCAGCTGGTTCAGAATGCTGCTGCACGACTTTTAACAGGAACTCGAAAGAGGGAACATGTGACCCCTGTCCTGGCTTCACTTCACTGGCTGCCTGTATATTTTAGGATTCATTTTAAAATTCTTATGTTTGTTTTTAAATCACTGCATAATCTTGCCCCGGCTTACCTCTCTGAGCTTCTTCATCCCTACATACCCTATCGGTCTCTCAGGTCAGCAGATCAGCTGCTCTTGGAGGTACCAAGAACAAGAAGGAAGCTCAGAGGGGACAGGGCTTTCTCTGTCATGGGCCCTAAGTTATGGAACGACTTGCCTTTGCAGGTCAGAGAGTCCCCTTCACTGTCCATTTTTAAAGTTCGTCTTAAAACTCATTTATTCAACTTGGCTTTTAACACCAGCGGGATCTAGTTTTTAAATTTTGTATGCTTTTAAAATGTATGTTTTTAACACCAGCAGGATCTAGTTTTAAATTGTATGTTTTCTGTTTTTAAACTGTTTTTATTTCCACTTTTATTATGTTGTGTTTTAATGTACAGCACTTTGTGTCAGCCATGGTTGTTTTAAGGTGCTTTATAAATAAAGTTGGTATGGTATGGTATGGTATCCTAACCAGATGCCCGAGACACCTCAACTGGCTCCTCTCGATGTGGAGAAGCAGCGGCTCTACTCTGAGTCCCTCCCGGATGATTGAGCTTCTCACCCTATGTTTAAGAGAGAGCCCAGACACCCTGTGGAGAAAACTAATTTTGGCCGCTTGTATCCGAGATCTCCTTCTTTCGGTCACAACCCAAAGCTCATGACCATAGATGAGGGTGGGAACGTAGATCGATCGGTAAATTGAGAGCTTCGCCTTTTGACTCAGCTCTCTCTTCACCACGACAGACCTGTACAGCACCCGCTTCACTGCAGATGCTGCACCTATCTGCCTATCGATCTCACGTTCCATTTTTCCCTCATTCGTGAACAAGATCCCAAGATACTTGAACTCCTCCATTTGGGGCAGGACCTCCTCCCTGACCCGGAGAGGGCACTCTACCCTTTTCCGGCTCAAGACCATGGCCTCGGATTTGAAGGAACTGATATTCTACCCGGCCATGTCGCACTCGGCTGCGAACTGCTCCAGCAAAGGCTGTAGATCACGATCTGATGAAGCCAATAGGACCACATCATCTGCAAAAAGCAGGGACGCAATCCTAAGGCCACCAAAACGGATCCCCTCAACACCTTGGCTGCGCCTAGAAATTCTGTCCATAAAAGTTATGAACAGAATCGGTGACAAAGGGCAACCTTGACGGAGTCCAACTCTCACCAGGAACAAGCCCGACTTACTGCCGGCAATGCGGACCAGGCTCTGACACCGTTCATACAGGGACTTAACAGCCCATATCAAAGGGTCCGGTACCCCATACTCCCAGAGTACACCCCCACCCCCCACAGGGTTCCCCAAGGGACACAGTCGAACGCCTTCTCCAAGTCCACAAAGCACATGTAGACCGATTGGGCAAACTCCCATGCACCCTCCAGGACCCTGCTGAGAGTGTAGAGCTGGTCCAGTGTTCCACGAACAGGACAAAAACCGCACTGCTCCTCCTGATCCTCGGCCAAGTTAATAGCTTTGCACAAAAACTTTTCTTTATTCATTCACAGAAGTTTGGATCTTAAACACATACTTACATTATGGAAATGCTAAATGGACTGTACTTATATAGCTTCTTTATATCTGATCAAGATACTCAAAGCTCTTTACAACACAATCTGTGTCCTCATTTACCTCCAACACACATTCATACAGCACTCTACTACATCTCTACAAAGATCATCTGAATCTGTCGAGACTGATCAGAGCTTTATCACATTCATACACTGATGATGGGACACACATCAGAGGCAGTGAAGGGTTCAGTGTCTTGCCAGAGACACTTCATCATGTGACTGCTGGTGGAATTGAACCCCCAACTCTGCCAGTGGAGGATGATTGCTCTAACCATTCAGCCACAGCTGCACCCAAATTATTATAACAGATCAAAAACATGATCCCAGTTTTAATAACCTCTTGCTAAAGCCAAAAAGGTGATTCTGTTTTTGCCTCTTTCTGTTGTTTATTTTTTGTTGTTGTGTGTTCATTTGTTTGTCTGTTAGCAAAATATCTCATAAACCGATAAACAGATTTTAACAAAATTTTCAGAACATAATCATTGCATGTTTGGTGTCAACCCAATTCAAGATAGTTGACACAGCTATGCAACTTTAGCACACACAAAACTGACTCTAATTCGGTTAATTTTGCAGTTATTGAGCAAAAATTTGGTGTAGTAGTAGCTGAGAGAGTAATTCCCAACAAATACTCCAAGCTACAAATTTTGTGACAGCTTTGCTTAAACTTTGGTATTATATGTTGGTGTCAAATCTGTTTGTCTGTTGTGAAATTATAAAAAAAAATATTGGAGGTTTGAATGAAACTTTAAGAAATTGACCACTGAGAATGCATCTACAGTGAGGTCACCTCAATTCACACTGCAGCTAAATTACATTAGCAAATACAAATATGGCTGTAACTCAGTCAGTCTTACAAATGCTGAGCTAAAGTCTGGTGTGTTAGTAGCTGAGAGGCATTCACTTCACCTACTAGAAGGTCAGAAAAATCTGACAAGATTTAACAAATTTGCATTAAATTGTGCTTAATGTAATTTGCAAGATTTTTTAAACCTTGGGACTTTTAACCTTTTTAAACCTTTACCCTGTCCTTTATCATAAGATCCTAATTTATATTGTTGGTGTAAAAAGCAGCAGGTGATCTGAATACCTTCAAAGCAAGGGTGATTCTAGAACCTGACCTTCAGGGACGCTTAGCCCCCAGTGCTGACAATGAGTCTTGGCTTGAACAACACAGTGTCCATTGGCATCAAAATAATTTGTAATGTGGGGGAGGACACACTGATGGGGAGGGTCTGGGGATCCTCAGACAGAAAATTTTGAATAAAGTAATTTCTGGACTTTATTTGTAACAGAAGACGTTTCGCACCTCATCCGAGGAGCTTTCTCAATTCAATGAGCAGAGAGTGAGAGGTTCAGGTTATAAGGCTGAGTGAGATAAGACACACATATGTAGATTTGACAAGTCACACCTCACACTTTAACAGTAGGGGTTTCTTAAGGTCTTTGTTCCTCTAAGACCCCTCTGTTCCCATCAAGTGTGAAAACCGGCTGGGAATCTGTTTTAAAGTTTCATTATATGTTTTTGAAAGTGGAAATCTGAGGCCTCTTCCTCTGTTAAGCGATGGCTTTTCCCTTTTTACATAAATTGCTTCCTTCACCCCCCTCTCAAACCATCTGTGTTCTCGGTCCAAAATGTGAACATTTTGGTCCTCAAAAGAGTGTCCCTTATCTGTGAGGTGGAGGTGAACAGCTGAATCTTGTCCTGTGGAGCTGGCTCTCCTGTGATGAGCCATGCATCTGTGAAGAGGCTGTTTAGTTTCTCCAATGTAGAGGTCTGGACAGCCCTTGCTGCACTGGACCGCATACACTACACCACTCTTTTTGTGTATGGATGCTTTGTCCTTAGAGTGGACCAGCCTCTGTCTGAGAGTCCTGCTGGGTTTGAAATGTACTGGGATGTTGTGTTTGTTGAAAATCCTTCTGAATTTCTCTGATACTCCAGCAACATAAGGGATGACAATGTTTTTCCGTCTGTTGTTCTCCTTTTTCTGTGCGTTTAGTGGATTTTCTCGCTGACTTGACAAAAACCCAGTTAGGATATCCACATGTTTGGAGAGCTTCTTGAATGTGTTTCTGTTCCTTTTCCTTCACGTCTGTCTTTGTGGGGACGCGTTCGGCCCAATGCTGTAAAGTTCTGATGACAGAGAGTTTGTGTTCCAGTGGATGGTGAGAGTCAAACAGAAGATACTGGTCTGTGTGGGTTGGTTTTCTGTACACTTCAATGTTAAGGTTGTCTTCTCTTTCCATCTGAACCAAACGGTCCAAAAAAGGCAGCTTGTTGTCGTTTGCATCCTCTCTGATGAACATGATGTTATTATCGACCGA